AAACCAAAACCCGAAACCCCAAGCCCTAAGCCCGGAACCTCAACTGAACCCCTGATCTCCCCAACTCCGAACCCCAAAGGTCCACTTCGGGGTTTAGGTTTAGGAATCCGCTCTCAGGGTTTAGGGTTTAGGGTTTAGGGTTTGGGGTTTAGGGTCTAGGGTTAAGGGTTTAGGGTTTGGGGTTTAGGGTCTAGGGTTAGTAGTGTAGGGTTTACGGTATAGGGTTCAGGGTTCAGGACTCCGGGCTTTTGAGTTTCGGATTTAAGCCATGCATCCCACATAGGGGTACATGCCTAGGCATGCTACAGGACATCCTCAACCCCAAACTCCTAACCCCCAAACCCTAAACCCTAAACCTCGGCCCCTAAATCCTAAACCCTGAGCCCATGAACCCTAAACACCAACTCCCAAACCCTAAACCGGGTAGGTGGAGGCTCTGGATGTACTTGCGTTGGTTCTACTTGGACCCCTGAGGTCCACCTTTAACAGTGTAAGGTTGAGGGTTTAGAGGTTTAGAGGTTTAGGGCTTTAGGGGTTTAAGGGTTTAGGGGTTTAGGGCTTCACAGCTGCCCACCTCGCGAGCTGCGGCTGCGGCGCAGGGCATCGGCGGCCCAGCAAGTGGCTTTTAAGGCCATGGCGCGGCGGGGAGGGTCGCAAACCTAAACCCGAAGGGTTCAGGTGTAGGATTTAGGTTTGAGGAGTTAGCCGTGGGGGTTTAGGGTTTTAGGTTTCGCGGTTTCATGGTATGGGCTTCAGGTTGTAGGGTGAAAGGGTCTTCGGGGCGAACAGGTATGGAGATTGAACATCATCTGTCTTTACATAACAGCATGGAAGCTTGGGACAACATCACTAAGAAAACAATATCCAGGACCTAGGATTGGCGACCAAACTTTCTGAACCTCAATCACCTGCTCCTTCTGGGAAAAGGCTCACCCGATTCCGAGGCGTCTGGTGTGATTCCAGATCCTGGGCGAACCTAAGTAGTCAAAACAGGATTCTAACTTCCGTCTTTTAGTCCGAATGTAAACAAAAATAGAGGGGCCTTGATAATTAGAAAATCGGGTTTGGGCAATTTTAGAGTACAGTTATAGTAGGAGCCCTGGGGAATAGTCCTAGAAAACATTATGGCCAACATGTTGCTCCATATCTGTCTTCAACAGCATTCAACGGAACCCGAAAGCCTAAACCTACACCCTAAACCCTAAACCCTAAACCCCAAACCCTAAACCCTAACCCTAAACCCCAAACCTACTCCTAAACCCTTCAAACCCTACACCCTGAACGGATCTGAAAGAGTGGCTTGCGAGTCGAAGGGTCGCAGAAACCTCGCTTCTGTATCAGACCGTTCTTCGAAGTACGGTTTAGGGTTTAGGGTTTAGGGCTTGGGGTTTAGGGTTTAGGGTTTAGCGTTTAGGGTTTCTGTATCAGACCGTTCTTTGAAGTACACTACCAAGGGTTTTGGGTTTAGGGCTTAGGGAAGATCCGATTTAAACGAATAGACGTTCCTGCAAGACTGTAGTTCTTCGATGATTCAATTGTCACGAAAACTGACCCGGTCTGGGGGCTGAATAGATTTCGGGATTTCTCGAACAGAGTTTAGTGCTTTAGGGCTTTGTCAATGGCCTTTAAGACCCTAAACCCTAAACCCTAAACCCTAAACCCTAAACCCTAAACCCTAAACCCCTAAACCCTAAACCCCTAAA